ATTGGATAGTAAACAGATGAATAATATCGACTAAATATTGCATTATGAATGTCACAAACATTTGGAGGTAGTAGATCAAAGAAAACAAGAATTGGTATACCATGAAGAATAATAATGAAAACAATGGCAAATGTAAGATATTTAGCCAGAGTAAGTGTACTCATTTGTCTCAAAACTGTTTGATAATGTGTCGAAAGAAATTGATCAAAAGATGTACAACATACTGTAAACATAGGTATGAGAGTAAGAATTGAAACGAGATATGCTCTCATTTTACACCAAACAAGTGACATATTTGTATAATTAATAGCAAATCCATCCATCATAATTCTTGTTGGATAATTAATAAGAAGTTGAGCTAAATTACAAATAGATTCGAAAATGAAATAGAAAACAGATGGTTTTCCTCGAAAGAGTCGAAGATTGTTTAATACAATGATATTTATTGTATTACCAATGATTCCCATCAATAAAATAGTAACACCAAAACCGATCATACAATGTTCAGAAATAGAAATGATTAATTGAGCTGTTGATAAAGATGACATTATTTTATTCTACTAGGAAAAAAAAAGATGTATTTGATTCTTGTCGTTTATCTACATAGAGTACAAAATAGTTTAAGTATTATTTTTCATTGTTTTCGAGATCATGAAAAGATGAAGAACATCTATAAATAATTGATTTATAGCAACTTTTATTGGCTAAAATGATATTGATTTATAGTGGTTCACTGGCTATGAAAAAAAAATTTTTTTTTAAAACAGCGCTTCTATATCAACTTTTAGAAAAGAAATACTATTTCTGCGGTTAAACGTAATTTTTTCATTAGCAATGGTTCTTTTTAACTTAAAGTATCATCTAAGAAAACATGGTGTGAGCGTGTTCATAAGAGAACATAATTTTTCTATCCAATTAAGGTTATTTAAAATATCGTTCAAATGCATTTGGCTTTAATGTGTTCGTATACATTCCCATGCAGATACGATAACAGTCAAAAGGATCTTCAAATATCTCAATGTAAAGATTGAAAAATGCTTTATTAGTTATCAAACAGTTTCAGATTAATAATTTTTAAACCTGTTTTTGATAACTGATGAGACATTTTTAACGATTTGAATAATTTTAATAAAAATAGCTGGTAATAATTAACAAACATGTCATGTAAAAGATTAATTGACAAATGTACAACGTGTTCGAAAGGTCTTCACCTGAAAATATTTTTTCGTATAACATTATTATAGACCGACTGTTATCAGCTGACTCGTTTTGCAGTATAGGTGACATCATCCAATGTTTACTTCTATTGACAAACTATAAAAGTGCTCTTTAAAATAATTATCTTTCGCCAAGACACAACAATTTAGTCTTTTTTCTCATTTCATAATAATATTATGTAGCGTTCCAGTCAAAGCGTAGTGTAATATTATTGTGAAATCTGAAAAAAAAGCTAAATTCTTGTATCGCGACTGTGGACAATTATTGTAAAGAGTACTTTTATAGTTTATTCATAGAAATAAAACCTTGATGGTATCACCTACAATGCAAAAAGTCAGCTGATACAGATCGAGCAATATTGAATTTATACGAAAAAATATTGTTTGGTATAGACTTTTGAAACATCCTGTAAATGCTTCATGTTGATTTCTGAAAAACAGTTGCTGCATGACAATTTATAGTAATTCTCAAAACAAGATTGTTCTCTCAGCCTATCTCGTCTTTTCTATTCTCGAGTGTCAAAAATTAAAATCTATCTAATCTCACGCATTTTAACTTTGAATATTCTATCTTGCTGAAAAATCTCAATATTTATTTCTTGTTTCTCAAATACTAGGTTTCTGAATTCTTAAATGTCATTTCCAATAAATAGACGTATCTCAGTGAAACAATGAATATTCTCTTGTTTAGAAGATTTTATGTTGATTCTTTTTATAATGAGAAGCTGAAATTTCATATTTTATTGATGAATTAGATTGTTCGATTAACATATCTTTAAATATTACGATGATGAATCACTAATTGTCTTATAAATTTCTAATACTTAGAAAACTACAATCAGAATTTCCATTACTAACAATGTTCTATTCGATATGTAGTATTAAGTTTATCTTCATCTAAACCAACAACCATATTCTACTGGAATTAAGAATTGTCGCAAGCTTCTAATCTATTCTGAAAATCACAATATCATCTTTATAGACGTGTTTTTGTATAAATCATAACTATCTGAAACAATTCATTCTATAAACGTACACGTTACAAATTTCCTTCATCAAAGGCTCACACTAAAGAACAATTATTGTAACATTGCTATTCTAATTATTGATCAATAATTCTGAGATTTGTTTTAGTGTATCCTACATATAGTGATCACTATAACTTGATTGATATCAGAACTTTTCCAAAAAAGCTTACCATTATTGATGATATACTGAATCGTGCATTTATTTTTAGTATAAATTAGAAGTTAAGCCGATAGGTAATCTAGGCATCTACTCTATAGATGAGGCCAAACGCAAATGAGAATATAAAAAAAGAAACAACGAGCACATAACTGAAGGGAAGAGACAAAAAAAAAGAATTTCTTTTTCTCTTTTCTTCATCTGCTAGACGGAAATAAAAGTCAGAACGAATTAAATATTCTTTTGAATGATGAACTATATTTCTATCTAGTAAAGAGAAAAAAAGATAAAATAAAAATGACTAATTAATGAAACAACTCAACTTGAACTTATCTTATACTCTCTTTGTTTATCACGCTTGCTATTCAATGATATATCCTTTTTTTAGAAGAAACAAAAGAAAAATATTTTCGATATGAAATTATTCCTAGTCTATCTTCGTTTAGCATATCAATTTATTACAGTGCTACTGTAGCAATTGAAAGAAAAGCTTGATTTTTACCCTTATCAGATATTAGCAAAGAACGAAATAATCTTCCGTACCACTAATACCTTGTTGAGAATACATTTAAAACTACGATAGAAACTTATTATGAAGAGTACTCTCAGTTAAATTATTACACTTCTCGTTGCTTTGATTTCGATTATAAGTAGTAGAAAATACTTTCTGCACTTAAAATTTCTAGGCACTAACAAAAAAAAAGATGCACCTAAGATTTTATTTTTCATTAGTAACACATATGCATTCTAATTACTGCTCACCTATTATTATTAATCGATAAATAGCAACACCTGCTATTTACTAAAAATAGCAAGATTAATTACTCATCAATTATTCTTACGTGAGCTGGATGGATTCTATTACATAAAGATGCTGGAGAATAGTTAAACTAATCACTTACTGAGAATATAATTTTTCAAGGTATAACTTATCTTCCACTGTGCCAGAATTTTAGAAGATAAACTGTAAGAAAATGTTTAAAGAAAAAATTTCGTTAATACTCATCCATATGCTTTAATTGCAGTTCTAACCGTTTATGGGTGTGGATTCTGAGTGAGATTCGTATCTTCTATGACACTCATACTCATACATACACCCAGTATGCATTTTCTATTGCTAATCTTGATAATCTTTCACCGAATTAGTTTAATAGTTGTGGCATTTTTTCTTATAAAGAAAAAAAACAAACGCTTTAATGTTGTTGTGGGATATACAGATGTTTTTTTTTCAATGCTTTAATAAGTTTTTTAGTTTTGCCTTACAGTTTTTTGATTGATGTCTACCTATTTGATAAGGTTTATTTATAATATTGGTAAATAGTATAATTTGTGTAATCATCGTTGATAAACACAAAACAAAATTGACGAGTGAACGTATCCAAATGATAAATCGCTTTAGAGCTGAGATCTACTGGACAATAGATAATTAATCATGTTGAATTCGAATATTAGAGTTTTTCATGCTGCTAGGTCTTCAGAGTCTTCGGGTTCTTGAAAACCAGTCTACTGTGGGGAAGACATTCTTCCACCAAAATATTTTTTTTAACTGTCCAGATTATAGAGCGCATCAAATTGTGTATAAAAAACAGATTTTCAGCAATTTCGGACGATTTAGTATGACTAGAAATCATAATTCCTTATTTTACTATATGTTCTGCACAAGTAAATGTGTCGATGTAGGCATATCTTTTCAAACAGCGTCGTTTGTATGAAAATTATTTTCTGATCATTTGATCATACTTCGTGTATGATCGCAATATCTTGACTTTCAGAACCTGATAAAGGTGGCGAGTATGGCGGTGCATGTTATTGAAGAGAACACTCGCATCCTCAAGATTAATCATCTGAATAACGGACTCTACGGCCGTTTCAAAATAGCGACAAAATGTTTTTTATACATGATTCGATGTGCCCTGCACTCTGGACAGATCGACAAAAAAAAAGATTTCCACTACAGTAAACCGGTGAATCTCTGAAGGAATAATAACACTGAAATTCTAATATTCGGTTTCAACATGGTCAATTTCCTATTGTTGACTAGGTTTCGACTCAAAAGCTATTTATCATTTGGATATGTTCTCTCGTGAGTGAAGTAGTACGTTATGTGATGACTGAACCGGTGAAATTGTTTCATGAGTTATTATTTTGTATTTTATTAAGCAACAAATAAAAAAATAATAAACTAGGTATTTTAATAACAGCAGCAAATGACGATTATATATTATACATATTTGAATCTTTGATATCGACAGAAGTTAGTTTACTTCTGTCAAAAGTACATTGCATTACTAGTGAAATCATTGATGTCTATTCTCAAACGGAAACTTTATTACAGTTACTTTTTGAAATACTTGATAAAATAGAATTAAAACGTAATACTAAGAGTCTACCTTTTAATCAACAAACATGGCAATTCAACCTTTTATTTCTATAATTTATGGAAAAAATATAACAAAAATTTAAAAAAAAAGAGTCTCTTGCGAATCAAGCTAGTCTCGTTTTCTTTTCGGTCAAATCATCGTATCCAATCCTTCATTGATGATTTTGAAACATCATATAAATCAAGTCAAATTCTAATGTGGCTTCACATAAAGATTTCCATCCATATTCGTATGATCTTCTCATTTCAAATGTTCTTCAGTCTAATAATCAAAAAAAAAAATACTATCATTTATTCGTTCTGTTTTCTTAATAATCTTACAAAACAAATGAAACTTACATCAGTAAAGCAAGTTTTATTGCAATTCAGTGTTTTCTTGTAATTATACAATCAAGAGCAATTGCTTCATTGGATGCGATAAAACTCTTCTGTTGTGATGAAATGAATGATATACTTCTTATTAACACGATAAATACTGTTTATTACTGTTACACCAAGCTATCAATTAAGTCTATTATTAATCTTCAAAATTTTCTTCATGTTACTTCATTGATAGTAACATATTTTCGATCCTTTATTTTTGCAAAAAAAAATTTTTTTTTCTTTATTTGTGTTGATATAAGCAAATTAGTAGATGCATACTTGAGAATCAATCACATACGAAGTGCATGATTGAGACTTACAGTGCAAAAAAAAATGAATGAATAGAGAAAAATAAACAAGTTGTTTTTATTCAATTCTTTTTTTCATAAGTTGATAAGACTTT